ATTGATTATCCTCTGCTGTGGCCAGAGCATCAAGAGATTGTTAGAATGTAAGGTTATGGTGTATTGCGTGGGCAGGATACTGTCAGGTTACCTAGGCCTAGACAGGTGAACAATTAGGGTTCTCAACCAAAGCCTTTGGTTCAGAAACCTGACCACACGGCAGCGGGTTTGGCGTTGGGCTACAAGCAGTCCGTTTTAAGGAGTAAGGTGCCACCCTCATTCCAACTCCCAACCTAGAGGACCAGGAGGCTGAGTTTTTCTGGCCTCTAACGATTGACCAATCTGGTATGAGTGGCTCTGAAGGTGCAAAAATTCACCACCCAGCATAGCTCAATGGATCACTGAGGCACACAAACCATCGCACCACGGTAAGGTGCAGCCTCATTGCGATGGACATGCCAGTGTACTTTGATGCGCATTCAGTGGGTGGGTGTCTATATTTTTACAGCGTCGTCGCGGACGTCCGTCGGAACACCCTCGGAGGTGATAACCAGACGCCGTCGACCGTCACTGCTAGTGAAGATTCTATGAAAATTCTCAGTTCGTCTTTTACATGCACCGCCTTTTTGACTAGTTTTTACCCTTCCATGCAGCCGAAATGATCTCGTACTTTATCTGTCAAACGTTTTCGTACTCTCCGGTTAAATTTTAATACGTGTTGCAGCATTCCGTGTTACGCATCCATTGCGTCGATAAAACTGCTCTTGATATGCAACTCGGGTAGCCGTGTAGTACGTTTTTTTGCTTCTTTGAAGCCAGCCTCTGTGTGGCCGATAGCTAGCCAGCATCGCCTTACCCACTTTTGTCACGTAAGTAGAAATTAGCACCTACTTAAGGGAAGCACTTTTAAACAGCATCAACACCTATCTTCACCGTCATTCTTCTTCGTTGCATTTTTGATGTATAATTGTGCCCCATAAACGGACGGGGGTTGGCTGTTACACATTCGACGTCGGTCACGTTCACAGAAAATATAACTCCCATTTACTGTACATCCCTAACGGGATCCAACTGAGTGCGCATCCGTCACTCACCTACCATCATTTAACCTGTTTCAGGCATAAACTACCACTGCTTTACATTACAGCTTCATTGATTATAGCAAATGTTTACATACTTAATTTTGAACTCCATATTGCATTGGTGTATTAGGTTTCTGACTTACCTTCTGCTTTTTTGACTCGCTGTTATCTTCGTGTAACCCGTATGATGAGAACACGGTCCCCTTCCCCAGTGACCTTTGCTGGCAATTGTAACTGGATCTCCCGTTAAACGAATGTAAATTTGGGTGTTTACAATTTAACAAAACAGTTTCCCTTTCTTCCCATCGTGTTATAGCAGACTACGAATGACACGTTCCGTTGCCCGTCGTGATGTTTACTGATTATCCAGTGATTAGAGATCCATTTCAATGTCTGACTCCGCAGATTTACAACGACGGATTATGAAGTTGGTAGTTGATAGATAGTCACTCGAATACTCAAATTTCCTAGCGGACAGCGCATCAGGACGGGAATATGCTGTGCGTACAGCATACTATCTTTTGGTGCCATCATGCTTTGATTGCGTACGATTCGTGGCCTACTTCCAATTCATCTACAAATGAGGTCTCTCAGTACGATCTATGGAATGCGCTAATTCCGGTTATTTTGCTTCCCAAACTGATGCTGTTATGCACAGCTTGGTCAGAGGTGCAGATTTCTTGTGTATTGTTGTCCATGATCGAGGTCCTACTCGTCATATGTACATAAGCAGCTGCATCCACTTGGATGTGCCTTTGACGTAGCGTTTCACTGTTGCATCAGCTCGCAAATATAAGGATAGCACGACGAACAGTGCCTTTGAATTAGTGTATCTGGTCATAACACCATAGTATGACCTCCGTGTAATGATTTGTTGCTGTGACCGAGCCATGGCGAAAACGTTTCCTTTTTGGACTAGTAACCGCAGTGCGATGGTCTTCTGCCGACTGTTGTTATACTGCTGAAGATGGGTGCCATTTTACACGTGCTTAACGTAGGACTTACACGTCGTGCCCATGCCAATGGACGGCATGGACTTGATGAAGTTGACCTATGGTACTGCAAATCGCTGTGACTTATGGATTGCATTTCACTGCGGGACTGAACCTCGACACAATGCAATGGCTTGCGTACCTCCGCCTTCCAGGAAGGTGTGCAGAACTGCAGGTTCCGTTCATTTCCACCGGATAGGCCAATGGTTAATGCTGAGGTAAGTTTAATATCAGTGTATTTCTGGTTGGTGAATGAGAAGAGCTAGACTGCCATGTTCTCTCAGGTTGAGTCATGGACGACAATGTGTTGCTGTTTATGAAGTAAATCCGATTGACCCGGAGCATGTGCGCTAGCCGTTGTCCCTGACCACGGGTCATTGCAGCGGTTGCTTAATGGTTTGTTACTGTTCTGTAAGCAAGCAAGAGGTGAATCTCCCAAGCTAACCGCGATTGAGGATGGCTGTACTCGTATTATGCGATACAATGGTAGACCGCAGAGAAATCCCACGAAACGTTTTGGGAATACGTATGACTGGCTAGACTTTTCAGCTATTCCTCAGCTTGTCTTGCTCCTCAGTGCTCAGTAAATCATATTATTCGACGGAAGACTAGTGATAAAGAACAACAGACCGAAACTCTTCTCTTGAAATAACCGAGTCGAGAGCATCATATAGTCACAAACACTTTCATAACTATTCCCCTCATCATTTTCGATTTCTCCTTTAACTCTTTGAGTCCTGAATTAATTTACAATCAGATCGACATGAACCACAACAGTTTACTTCACGCACTGTAGAGCAAAGTATCGGAGTTATGGCCCTTACTTACTTGTTGACGGAAGGTTATTGTACGCATCCTTAGGAGTAGCGGCAGGAATGACGCTTGCACTGAAACAGTACTACAATGTAAACAAACTGGTAGTTATAAGTACCGCCAGGACACAAAGGGTTAATATTTGTCCATAGTTGCCCATGCTTGGCGGTTAGGTTAACTCGTGCTTCAAGCCAAGCGTCACATCCCACATCGATTCTTTTATCATCCACACGTGACCTCAGTTTGATCGAAAAGTTTCAGCTACCTATTCTGCACTATCAGTGAGTTAGCATGTATTTTATCTCCGAAAAGCACATCTTACATTGCTGTACCTCGGTAAATCTACATTTGCATCTTTCAAGCTGTACTGACGATGATCAAGCTCTCCGAGTCTAGGTGCACCCGGCAGCTAGCTCGGGATAATAATCACCTTGCGAGTATTGTGCTCGCCATTAAGGCTGAAAGCAATCTTCCTTGATGAATTTTATTGACTCCGAGTCCGTACTTTTGCGCCGCTACCGACTGCGACATGGAGGTTATCGCTGGCAATTTTTATCCATAGCTCTTACACCGTACCTGTTGTCTCAGGAACCAAGCCTTTTTGATCGCTGTACGTAACACGTATACTCGACCGTACTGAATAACAGAGACCGGATAATTCTTAAATGGCCATTCTGTGGTAAATGTTCATAGTTCTAACAATTACGGATGGGTTCTTCAATCTTGTGCTGACTAAGATGTTTACACCAACAGCCTTCCAACATAAACGTTTGCATCGCGTCAATTGACGCTCTCCGAACGAAACGATGCTTTAAGGTTCAAATCGACCACATTACCATTAGTTACAGATGGCACGTGTCTACTCGTGCTCGTCATTGTACATTCAACACGTACCGGTAACCTAAGCATGTGGTGCGCATCAATACGTGGCCAACCCACGCGCCAAACCTATTTCCGCTTGAATTCCCAGACCTGAAATCGCCAGTATTTAACTTCCTTAGCTCATCAGTGGTGAATGAACCTGACGTTAATTGGGATGGCTTTCAGTGCACTATGAAGAAGTCACGTGTCTGTTTGGACTTAAGGCATCCAGGTGGTGAAGGAATTTGGACTTTTGCTAAGTTGATTGAAGCACGTCAGTGCGATCAGTTTCAAGATATTTGTGACATGAGTGTTACATGAGTGCGATTTTCAGGGTTGATCGAGAGCGTCGATGGACTACATTTTTGTTAGTGAGAAAAAACCACTGCTGTCGGGATCAGCGCTGCGCTGTTCAAACCCTTTCACTGCACAGATCGAAGGAAAGGATCTGGCAGACAGAACAATGACTGCAAAGGATGTACGATCAATCAGTTTCTAGCCGCACTAACTTGAACGTCGAGCGGAGCATTTTGTAATGGTTTCTATCGATCTACTATCTCCGTCCTTTCTGTATTCTTCCGAATGTCTCTTATGTTCGAGGTATTGACTCCGGATTATTTCGATGTAAACTATCGCTGTTAAAGTTGAACAGGTCACCGGGGTCAACCATTCTTTCTTCTTCGCATTGCATACAGCGGCGGCGCATCGTTTATTGTTAGCCGTCGTTTTCATCCACCAACCGAGGCAAAAGCTTCTCGCGTCAAGTGCCACCCCTGTCTCAGTGCGCTGACTGAGCTTTCAATCAGCAGCTTGATTTCAGTATCAGCATTTAAACGTTTGTAACCTTGGAATATCTACAACAGCATTCGGGTCAGCAACAGTCACATTAAGATGCCAAGGCCGAATTTGCAATTCCAACCGAACATACTGTTGTTGAGGTTATAAGAAGAGCACGCGCAGTTCGTGATGTACACTCGATCCTGCGCAACTATGTTCTTACCTAATTTCTACGACGCTATTGTGTGAAATTCCCTCGATACTGTTTTATGAGTTGGTGCTCGTTAAATGTTTCTTCTTACATTTCCATTGGCTTGTTTCTTTCTGTTCATCATTGATTCGGTTGCGTGTGGCAGCTGAGATCTACGTCTATTCTCTGATATCTCCAGCAATTTCGCCTTTATTTGTGTGGAAAAATACGTTGGCATCCGTTATTTGTTTTTCATGGGTCACATGTCGCTCTTAATGTGATACTAGCACCGTTATCCTATCATTGCTGCCGTCAAATTGTACTCACTTCTAACTATTTGTGAAGGAGGGCACGTTGTTGGATCCCATGTGTGGCAAAGGTGTGCTCTTATGCGAAGCGGTCATGAAAGCATTCAAGCGGAGCAGAAGCGACGTTGCACTTGTCAAATCTGTGCACTGCTTTCTGCTTGGCACGGATTGCTCGGCGAAGCAGTTACACTGTGCTCGGGAGAATTTAATTCACATCCAGACCAGTACGAAAGCACCTGGCTTCTCATGGGACCTAATTCAATGTTTCACGGAATGTAAGTTCTAATAGATAAGCATTTTGATCTCTTTGATTATCTGTCATTTGTCACGGTACTAACTACGGACCGCTTTTTCATCTGGTGCTATCTGCTATGTTTTTGACACAGATATTTCCCGCAACTTCATGAGAGATCAATTTCTCTAGCTTTTCGACTGTTCACTGTATCAAGTGTAGGGTGACTCCCGATTGCTTGATAAATCGGCACATCTGTTACCTAACTCAAGATCTGTTAGTTGAATATCTTCTTCTCGTTTGGCGGTGAGTACACGGTTCTAGATATTTAATGCCCATCGCCCTCTTAGCAGAGCTTGGGATATCAATTTGCTCGGATGCACTTATGCGCATGGTCGTAATTGCTCGTTTCTGCTTCGAACCTCCCTATCGGCTGACCTGCAGCACATAAAGCTAAGGTTCCTTTCCTTGTCCCTATGTATACCGCAACTAAATGTAGCTCACGGAGTAACCAATCGGAACAATAAGACTAGATCACGGAAACGAAACGAACATACTCCGTAACTGGTCGAACCATGAATAGTGGTCGGTCTACGCTGCCCCACTGGTTGGCTGCGTTCTGTGTTGTTCCGTGGCTTTTTCGTTTAACTGAGTCAACCTCAATAAACTCATTTATTTTGCACGACAAAGGCGGTGCAGCCTTTCGCTCCACATACACTGTCTCGTTTATTGACTAGTCTTTGTTGAAAAGACACTTAATCGCTAAAGGACAGTTTTAGGACAGCAAAGACGAACTCCATCATCGACCCTCGTTCATTGCTTATGTGACGAGAAACACGGATACAATGTTTATTTCTAGTGATGTGAATAGACAGGTGGATATTTCGGAGTCAATACTAACCGGACATGTAACGGCGATTGGCCACTTCGGATTTGTTCAGTTTATTTCAGTTGAACAACTATGATGCCGGGACCGAAATGCAGTGGGTCCTGTTGCCACTACTCACATCCCCAGAATAGCAGTAATAGCGGCAAGAAAATGGGGTTGAGTGCAAATGAAACTTAATGTAAATCGAATCAAGAAGAAGTGCGTTAAACTAATCAGTATGGAATGAAAAAACTGCTATATACAAGAAATTGACTACGCGACTGCGCCATGTTTGGTTGGGGTCTTCAACCACTGGTGTGAAATATCCTGGGGCCCCGATTCACTTAGACGGCATGCACCAGCCTGACCAAGTCTCGGTTACTTCATGGATTGGCCACCTCTACCCTTCGCCCAACTTGACGCAGCTACGTCGTATAATACACACCGAGGAAGTCGATCGACGGGCATACGGAGGACATGGTCCAGCCAACGTTTGCGGTTGAGCTTAGGCAAACTGTTATAATTGAGGGAACGCCGCCTCTGAGATAATTGCGTGACAAGATTGTCGCTGGCACGGTTGGAGCACGCCTACGATGATGACTTGTAACGCTGGCCAATCGAACGGAGTTGCGCTGACCTGATGACGCTAGCTTAGCCGGTGAGACGGAAAATTGAGCGAGCGTGTGAACGATCCTAGCCGCACTTGTTCGGATAGACGCTGAGGCCTCGGAAACGGACACACACGAGAGGGGGGGATACGATAGACGCGCGCTAATGACTTAGACGCGAAGGCTGGCCAGCTAACGACTCACACGCAATCACATGACCCGACCGACTCCCAACTGGGGCGAAGAGAAAGAAAAGGCAAGTGGTCCTCTGTGGGCTCTTTTACGACCAACAAAGGGCAATCACAGCCAGTGCTATGGGTTATTAAGTTAGGGAAAACAGTCACCACGACGAGATGGTAGTTTGCAAATGACCATTGTCCGAAGGTGCGCAGTTGGGCCGCGTCTCGGAGTGGCTGAGCTCTGCTGCGTTGTGGGGAGGAATTGGCCCTCGCTTTCCACAGCCATTCTGCTGGGGTTTCTGGCACGTTTTTGCGGGAATATTTGACGTGCCCGCAACACAAACACTCGAGTGAGGTACCAGAAGGATTCCTGCCAAAAACCATCTGGCCGACCTCAGCATTACTCATCATGCTTTTCTACCGGGTGTGAGCAATACTCCGCAAGCATCGGTGATCAAACACGGCCACGCGGTTAATGTTTTCACTGTGAATTGACCAAATTTCCGATCCATGCAGTAACATAGGCCTTATCGCTGCGTTACACATCCTACCTTTCAGTGACAGGCTGATGTCCCGCCATCTCCCTAGATGCTTGATCTTCTGAAATATCACTTTGGCCCTGCTGATGCGCGAACTAATTTCCCCAGTGACTTGACCACCAGAGGTGACAGCCTCCATGATGAGTGAACTCAGTAGCTGTTCGTTGAAAAATAAAACAGTTAGCATATTCGCCCAGTCCTGTAACTGTACTTTGCACTTTAAAGGTGCAAAACACGTCGAAGCGTGTGGCACTTCAAGTCACTTTATTCAGTAGTGCTTGCGTAGCCATATTGCTTCTGACCCAAGTTTATCTGTGTCGTTGGCATATTTGAGGTTTGTCGGTTGGTCACCTAGCACTTCGCTAGGGTCTGAAAAAACCGAGTCATTTATGATCATTTCGACTTCAAGTTTGACGAGGAGAGGACAGCACTGTGCGGGGAACTCATGAGACAGCTTCCTGTTGACCTTTACACGATCTCGGGAGTCCCAGTAGTGAGACTTCAGGATGAAAAGGAGTTTAGCTGGTGCACTTTTCACGGATAGGCAGTGCTACAGACTGGCGCGATCAACAAAGTCGAGAGCGGCTTTCAAGTTTAGGAGGATCACCATAGTCAGTCGTCTGTGTGTGTCTATGCTCTAACACTTGGCAAAGAGTAAATCTGCTCAATGCTACAACGGTCAGGGATGAAATCTGCCTGGCTTTCACGAAGACCAGTAAGTCATCGAAGAATCAGGTCAAAGTAAGCTTTATCCACGCATGTTTATAAGCCTGTCATTTTACCTCAGCATTTGCTTGAGCAACGGAGATGAAAATCTGTCGTTTCGCAGATAGGTTGTCTCAGTAGGCAACATTGATCAAAATAGGAGTTAATTTAGTTTGTGAGATGCCCGCATTGAGCTGAGTTTTCCTTCGTGAACATTTGAAAATAATTTGAAAAATATGTTGATTTGCATCTTTTGAACTTATATGCTGAGCAGTTCCAGACAGTTTTTGTCAACGCAACATGGTTGGTCTTACTGTATAACTTGGGACATATCTTTCTTATGCAGTGGTCGGAATTACCAAGGGGCGCACACTTTTGTTTAGGAAACAAGTTGTCTGCTTGTAAAAACTAAGACTAGATGCGCCTCTAGTCTGGTGGGGAATTTTATTATATTGAGAAGGAACAACACAACAAGATACTCTGAATTCAGGTATTTCGGGTATTTTCTTCAACTGTTAACATACATCCCGAAATATCTGAACTCAGAGTATCCTGTTGAAATGTTGTTCCTTCTTGCTATCTTACAATTCGTCAAGGAAAAATCCTGCATGAAATTTACTGTACCAGCTAGGCTCATGGGTTTAATGGATGCTGTGTCACTCCTAATGAATTCACCTGCGTGAATACCGTTGGAATATACTAACTTTGGTTGCAACCAAAGCAATGTGGTCTGCAAACTTTTGCGACTCGAACAGCGTTGTGTCCCGACCTACATACACGTTGCCAACTACGAGGGTTAGGTAACTGTTCAGAAATCTTAATTTGCATTCAAATAGGTGACAGGTTACTGACGTTGTTGTGCATTTCGAGAGTTTTGCAACGGGTTTACACCGATCTTTGCTAATTTAGGTGGTATCTCCGCGATGCTGGAGATTTTTTGGGCGGTTAGATCTAATGTGGCGGTAGCCATCATTGATATCAGAATGCAACTAACTTTCCTGTAACGTCACTACACCTGCATTCATAAATTCTCTTTGCTGCAAAATGTTCGCGAGATGATCAATTTTCTCTAGTAGTTATCGTATGCGGGTGGACAGGATCAGCGGACTTTGTGCGTTATTTTACGGGACAGCGCTTGAGTCCATCCAGCACGATTCTTTTTCTTCTAAACTTTTCTTGACCATTGCTGTGAAATTATTCCAGACCCTGTTGCCGTATACATCCAGAGGCGCTTTTCGCACAATGTCTCGAAGATAAATCAAATATCAACAGAGTATGACAACATTGGTGACTATGGAATTGATTCACCTTAACAAAGGGTACAATAATTTCTGAAGGCACGAAGAATCTGCAGTGAGTAGGTAAAATGATATTCCGATGACAAAAGCAGCGACCGAATTTGAAGACTCCACCTAGATTGCATTTTTTATCGTCTTTGTACTGACCAACACCGTTATATCAGCAACGTCACTTCCCATGAGAGCCGTTCATATCGCCCTACCTGATACCGCACCCACACTAATCCTACTTCGGTTTTCTGTAGGTCTTGCACTTCAATGTTAGACTGTCAACTGCTATGGGGTGCATGCTTAGATCCGCGCCCACATGCTGTTCGCCTTCTTAGTCTCTTAACGAAGCGTCTAATTTGAACATTTTACTCCTCATCTTGACTCATTCATCAGCAATCGCTGATGAACCAGGTAGATTAACCATAGCCTCTTGGGATCGTCTCTGTTGTGTCATGAGGGCTGCCTATGGAATCGCTCGTCCATCCATTTGAGACACGGATGTTTTCATTGTGAAAACCAGTTTCTACTGTCAAACCCTCTAATGGCTTCTAAATTAGGGTCTTACTACTGACCGGGAGCGTTGACACTGGGAGTGCACCAGGGAATCTCCTTTCTGCCATAAAGCCTACCGTAATTCCGGAGGCCGGATAAGAGTGTGCGGGAAGTAGTTTCCTGAATGCCCCACTATAATCGTAGCCGGCCAAAGTTGTCCTCTACCCCTTTCATCTTCGGCCTTGTGGTCGAAATCCGTCGCAATGAGACTAGGCGCCGGTTTGCGTACCTCCTTGACCCATTGAGCTATACTGGGTGGAGCCCCCGAGCGCCTTGTGACCGACTCCTACCAGTTTGGTCAAT